ACCAGAGCAGCAGCGATATGTAACTTTCTTCTAAACGTAGATCACTTACAGTATAAATGACTTTGTTAATGTTACCTGTTCAGCTACAAGCACACTTCATTTTATCCAGTTGAAGCAGTTCCTCCTGACTGAGAAATGATCTTGTTCTTTCATCAGGAGCCTTTAAAGATTAATACTAAGATGATGTACATCTGTCAGAATCAGATGATCGATGGCTGTAAATTATGCAAAAGACTGCAAGGTTTAACTTTGCAGCGATGCTAACGATGCACAGCATGCTTTAAGACAAAGGTAAATGTAAAGTTTATTAGGACAATGCACAAATACATATATATATAAAAATAACAAAGCAGAGCATGTTTAGGAGCTTAATTCTCCTCTGAGTGATTTGTCTGATTGTGCCACCTTGATATCTCAGTCAAACATATCTTCAGACATACCTGGCTACCTCTTTTTATGTTAACTGGTCATACCTGATTGAGTCCCACTCCATCATTGCACTACCTTATCTCATATTTACCTGGTGATAAGGAGTCTGGTGCTGCAGAACAGTCTGGACTTCTACACGAGGGCTTGTTAGTGCTGTGCATGGGTTTGTTATTTTCCAGCACCTCATGAAACTGTGTGAGGTTCTGTCTTTATCTGTCTGACTGAAATAAACACGACTCAGAGATGCATTCCCTCAGTGTTTGCTAAGCTGCCCCTATAGGCCTGTTCACATCATCGTGGAATGAATGCCACAGATTCTGGCAACTGAGATTAAGATTATTTTGAACTCGTTTATAATTCTTCCTCCTCTTTAGAGATCATCCTTGCATCACGTGGAGCGGCCTCAGCAAGACGATTCCCGTTCTCCTGTTCCTGCCTGAGGCTATCGTTTCAAAAGACAGAAATATCTGCTCTGTTGGAGGTACAAAGTGAGAAAGTTGCGTAATAATATAAAAATAGGGACCTGTGTAAAATTTCAGCCGTCCCTTTATGTCTTTTGTTTGCCCAGAGCGATTCAATATGGCCTTCAAGATTGTGCGCACCGAGAGCCGCCTGGTGCGAAGAATCCTCGCCAGTCACGGGTTCAGTGAGGTAATGCTCATCTTTGATTCGTGCAAAGTTTGTAGATTCATCAAAAGCGGAGGAATTTGCTGTCAAACATGTGCGTGGTATGTATAGTCTGAAAATAGAAATTAGTACAGCTGCACTTGTGATCTATTTTTATGTGTTTAGATGTTACCCATGAGCCTTTTTGTGGCAAAATACGATTTTTCTGAATCTGAAAACCCCGCACTCTGAAAAGAACCAGAACGTCCAGTAAAACCTTTATGTATGTCGATGAGTAAAACGCAGATTTGCAGAAGGCATGTCTGTCATTAAAACCCTCATCTTCATCACCTTTGAGCTGAAACAAAATCCTCAGTCAACACAGTCATTAATATACATTCGCAAGAAAAGAGTCGCAGAGGTCTTCAACGCTCTCCACTTGAGATGCAGAACTCTAGCGGATAACTTCACATGGATCTTGTCGTTTTTACAGCTTAAATGTGTCTAAGCTTTCAGGATAACCTCATGTCTACAGAACTGCAGCTTTAACTGTAGCATAATCACTACAGTGTCTTAAACTCGACACAGCGAAAGTCTTTGAGAGTGACTGACTAAAACACGCTGAAGCAAAACCATGTGGTCCTAATCCATCCAACCTCTTGTGTCAGCAATGTGCGCCGAGAAATTGTTAAGTTTAGGCACCAAATGCAAATTCTTCTGAATATCAAAAGACTTACACAGAGACTCCACCGCAAACGTTTCTGATATTTTTTGTCCTCTTCAAGCAAAGTCAGTCTCTTGCTTTCCAAATATCACTTTGGCCGGTTCTTTCCTACGCCAGAGCCTTACCTAGTTCTACTAGCTGTTGCAACTTTTGGAACTCTCGTTCTTTCTCCAACCTTATCTAAAGCCTAAACATAGTGTTGGGCAATACATAGAAAATTTATCTTTATCCAAATTTCGGACTCTTATCGAGATTATTTTTCCCATCGCAATAAATTTGATAATAAAAAATGAGAAGATGTGTGTAGGTTGGCAACGTTCACGTCCCTTTAAGAAGCTGTATCACCTTGAGTGACGTAAAAATGTGATAGCCCCATCTAGTGGACAACTTTTCTTTCTGCACATACCTGTAGTTATCGTACATTTATTGTTATCGAGGTGAAATCTTCAATATATGGTGATATTGATTTTAGGCCATATTGCCCAGCCCTACCTCAACGTCTCTTTTTGCACTTCAAAGTTTAAAGGCGAACCAGAGGAAGAATACAGAGCCACCTGATCATCAGTTAAACCAGTGGAAAGCAACAGAGCAAAATGTTTGATGAATTACTGTAGGTTTGAATCCCAGACAAGACCCCAAGTTGTTATGGTCTGGCTCATAAAGCCAGACCAGGTTGTATTTTTTTGGCATTTTAGTGATCTCAGATTCCCAGAATTTACTCTCATTCAGATGACTTTGTTCTGGGATTTGATTTGGTCCAATTAGGGATGCACCGAGGGATTGGCATTTGATCCCAATCGGCCGATAGCGCCCCTATTGGTTTTGATCGGAGTTTTCAAAATAGATCAAAGCAGACCGATCAGACCATTTTAGATTAGGTTACATTTCCTTTATTCCCAGATTATGTAGTTTGTAGCACTCATTATAATGTTGTAGAACATTTCTGGCCAATCCACGTGATCGGTATCGGTGATCGGTATCGGTGATCAGCATTCTTTGGTATCGGTATCGGTAATCGGCAGCAAAAAACCTGATCGGTGCATGTGAAGCCAATCAGTGTCTCTTTATTTCAGGTTCATTCCAACAGTAACGACTTTAACCTGATGTGGACAGGCTCTCACCTCAAACCTTATGTACTACGCAGCCTGCAGGACTACCAGAAGGTCAACCATTTTCCCAGGTAGACCAGAGTTGCTGAAATCCATTAGTGAGCTGCAGCTGCATTCTGTTTTATAAATATCTCTACCGAGTCTTTCCAAGCCCCTTCAGCTCAGCCGATGTATTTTTTGGCTTCCCCTGGAACACACATTTAGTTTGGAGCTGTGCCTTTCTGAAGCATGAAATGAATCACGCTGTCAGGCACAGGGGGGATCTGTAGCTGTCCTCTATTTATGTATTTATTCTGTCATGTCAGAGTGGAGCACATTTCAAACTGGAGGCTCTGCTCATTTCCAGGTCATATGAATTAACTCGCAAAGACCGTCTCTATAAAAACATCCAGCGGATGCAGCAAACTCATGGCTTCAAAAACTTTCACATAATCCCACAGACCTTCGTGCTTCCCTCTGAGAACCAGGAATTTCGCAGTAAGATGTTTGCTTGAATCCGTTGGTCGAAACCGCTACGGTCATGCCGTTGTTTACCTTTTTGCTGTATTTTTCTCTTCTTCACTTAGATTGTTTTGCAAAGGACAAGGGCCCATGGATAATTAAACCAGTAGCTTCTTCAAGAGGGCGGGGCATCTACCTGGTCAGCAATGTGAGTGATTAAACCTGTAAAAATGCAGACTTTAGTTTCAGGTCTCTTAAGGGAAAAATGCAGATAAAAAATGCAACAAGTGTGTGTTATGGTGATCTTTCAACCTGCTGTCTAAAATCAAGAATAAACGTTCAAACTTGGACATTTTCCCAGTGATTAAAAATGTTTTTTATTCTGTTCACTCTTAAATCCTCGTACGGCTCAGTGCAGCTTGGGTGGTCTCGACCTCCAGCTCGAGAAGCGCTGATCTAAAAGAAAAAAACAACCTTTTACAGTAAAATAAAGTTGTGTTAGTCGACGTGAGCGGACTGTCTGACATGTGTTTGCCTAGGCGGGGAAATAAATTATCTGGAAATGTCATTCTTCTGTTTGCCGAAGGTCTAAAACTGTGTTAGCGGTTAAAGCTAACGACAAATGGGGTTATAGGTTCTCACAATGAGCACAGCGCCTGATTTTATTGAATTCTAATGTAGAGAGTAGATTTCACGGCGTTTGGCTCACTGTGGCTTAATGAAAACTGAAAAAGTGTGTAAATTATATTTTGTTTTAGAAGAAAACTCCTACTGATTCATGTTTAAGCACAGATGTACATTAACAGCAAAGCTGGTGGGAGTTGAGTGAAATAAAATGCCGTGTGAACTCGGGCAGCCTCCTGGCCAGATGTTATCGGCGGGGGCGGGGGTGCTGATACAGTTGTCTTTGAAATAAGTTTCAGGCAGACATTAATAAGCTCTGCAGAGTAAATCACATCCTTGCAGGGTCTCGGCTCTTGGATGAGCTCAACAAGGTTCTCGCTTTTGGAAAATATACGCTCCATTCTTCTTCTTCTCAGGCATTTTTATGCAACAGTGGAAAGAATGTCAGCTTGACGCTTGGAAAGAAGAAAGAAATACGTTCATCTTTTTCAGTTTGGGTTTTTCTCTGAACTTCAGCCAGCGCTGAGGTTACTCTGCCCCCCGCCCCCCCCCCCCCCCCACCACCACCTGCAACACATTTCAACCTCATAAATGACCCATCTCCCAGCACCAGATTGTGTTTTTATAGGCTGTTATTGAAAGTTGACCCGCTATGGCCAGCGTCGCTGAGACCTCTCCTCGTGTGATTGCTGCTTGATGTTTTATGATGAAGCGCCGCCACGTCACATCAGCTTTGTGGAGTCGAGTGTTTACCGTGCTGTATGAAGTTACTAGAATTCACTTTGTGATGAAACGCTGCCGGTTCTCTGTGTTTCGCATGTACAGCCAAATCAGATCTCCATGGACGAGAACATCTTGGTGTCTCGCTACGTTAACAACCCGCTGCTCATAGATGGTGAGGTGAAGTTGTCTTTTCTGAATCAAAGATGTTTTTCACAGATGAATACAGAAAAATCATTTATTGTTTTTCTTGCAGAGTTCAAGTTTGACGTTCGTTTGTATGTGTTGGTGACATCATACGACCCGGTCCTCATTTATGTGTATGAGGAGGGCCTCGCTAGGTAAGTGGATGTAGGTCGGTGAAGGATTTATGTCCTGATTATGTCTCCTCTTCTCAGTGGCAGCTCCAGAAATTTTTCTCTGCAGGTGCTATGAAGGAGCCAGTCTTTTTATTGAGGGTGCTATGAAGGAAGTGGTCATGCGTACCTGTTGTTCTCTAGAACACCTTCAACACTAGCAGATACACATGCGTGCACAAAACCTCAACAACACCTGAAACAGTCATTAATATACATCATAAACAAATGAACAATCACTGACTTTTCCATGAAATCATAAACACATACAGCCACACAGACAACCATCTATAGTGTTGCAAGGTTAGCTAACGTTAGTGTTAGCATTTCCAGCGGCAAAACCCTCGACTGCTGTGGCGGTTGAGGGTTGACTTCATCCAGATCCGTAGGTTTTTGTGGGTCTGAGATCACTTCCAAAGATTCATTCGTTTCTGACTGAACCCGTGGAAATTTGGGCAACAAAAACCGATCCATTTTACTACTAGCTCTACCTTTCACTCGTTCACAGGTGGAAAATGAGGTCAAAGGTTAACATCAATTTCCTGTTTTGGTTTAAGTTTTTACTATTGTAATGATTTAAATGACATGTTATTTAATAAGCCATAAGGCGGTAATCCTAACAAATCTGTTAGTTCAAAACTAACAGATTTGTCTGTGCAAACGAGAACGCTGAAGACCTGCAAATATTGTTCGCTCGTGCAAGCCGGGTTGGCCTCAGACTGAACAGGCTGGTACAGCAGGTGAAGTGGCGGGGTCATTTGTCTACCCGTCATCATTTCAAATGGGGAGACACCAGTAGACTCGTGAGGGGTGGCGCGTATGGCCATGAGGACCCACGGAAGCTTCACATCCCAGTCCCGGTGATTAGAGGACACGTACTTCCTCAACATGCCGACCACCGTCCGGTTCATCCTCTCGACCTGGCCAGAAGACTGGGGGACGATCGCTAATGTGGAAATTGGCCTTCACACCCAACAGTTTCCAAAGATGTTCCATCACTTCAGAGGTGAAGTGAGTACCCCTGTCCGAGTCAACCCGAGTGGGCAGACCGAACCGGGCGAAGACGTGATACATCAAGAGAATAGCTGTTGTTTTCGCCGTGTCATTAGGTGCTGGTAGATATTCAACCCACTTGGTGAATGCACAGGTCACGGTCAAGATGTATTTATTACCCATGCTGGACCTGGTCAGAGGAGGGGGAAAACAGTAATTTCATTCCGCTACACTATCTATATGATAATTTACTGATAATTTTTGTTTTGTATGTTAAATATTATCACATCCACACGTTAAATTAAAATTAAATTGTAAAAAAAAATCTAATATTTACTTGGGGGTGCTATGGGGGTGCAATGACTAATCCAGGGGTAGCTATAGCGCCCCCTAGCACCCCCTGACGCCGCCACTGCCTCTTCTTCTGAGGAGGACCACAAACTACTGGGTAACAGTGGGCGTTTGATATCAGCGTTCTCTTTTATTCTGGGCTTTTTGGGCAGAAATGAAAGAAAATGAAGTCCCGACTTCTAGATTTAGATTGCTTTGTGACATTATACCAGAACAGCTGGTGCCATTTTTTCTGTTTTTAAAGAAAATCCTTCCAGCATATGAGGAACAAAACCTTTCGTCTGATTCAGATTGCACTTTGGTTGAGTTAAATATCAAACAAGGTTCTGCTTCTTCAGAGCGACACCAAAGCCATAAAAAAAATCCCTTTTTTGTCCGTAAGTTTGGAAGAAACCAAAGATAAACTAGAATTGCAAGCAGTTATCAACGGGTTCCAAGCCATCCAGCGCCACTCGCCCACCCGGCCCCGCCCTCACCTTCGCCATTCCTCACGCGGTCCAGCCCCAAAAACACGTTCTCCCGCCGGCGTCCCGTCGGCTCACTTCAACCGGCGCAATGAAAGTAACACTCAGGATACGTCATGAAACCTTTTGCTTAGCCTATACACATATCTTTCATAGGCATGGCTGACTTCTCAATCGTGATTACAGTCAAATTCCACTGTTTCCTTATCAAAGAACGTGAAGATTTAATGAGCGAAATCATGTTCTGCATTGGACAGAATTAGCTCAGGAAGTGGAGCGGCATGTGCCGTAATCAAAAGGTTGAAGGATCGATCCCAACTCTGACTAGAAAATGCTGCCTCGCCTCTCAGTGCACCTCAGGGAAGGTGTGGCTTCATTGTAGCTCGTTCCCACCAGCGTGTGGCTAGGTGGTTGCATGGATGAAAGACTCCAAAACAAAAACTTCATTATAAAATCCATATTTGATCTATACCAAAAAATAATCTATACATAAAGAGTATATTAGGAATAATATAAATACTTGATAATGTCCATAGATTGAATAGATTTTCAACAAAAACTATGAGTTTCATTTTGTGACTTACTGATCAAATGATTTAAACAAAATCCTGAAAAATCCATAAATCATCCTAAAATTACCAAAATATTCTCACATGGCAATGTTAACATGCGGAATAATATGATGTTGTTTTTAAATCAGTAGACTCAAAGCTTTTTTGAAGAAAAATTGGTAAATAAATCTATAAGGGGCATAGCCAAAATTAAAATATTCATAAAAAAATAGTGCTACTTTTTAAAATTAGTAGAAAAATCTCAGATCACCATAGGTAAATGTGGATTGTTATAAATGGTTTATATTTACTGTATACCTAAAAAAAACTTTCTAACAAAATGTATTTACATTTTTGTCCAACTGTACAGAAAAACTGGCAAAAAGTTAAAAATCCATTAAAAATCTATGCTTTTGTACAAAAATCTCAAAATATTCACAGATTGCCTCTGTGATGTGAGAATTCTTCTAATATTTTTGTAGGGATCATAAATTTAAACTTTTCTTACAATAAAATAATATGTGCATTAGTGGCAGTCACCAAAAATAAGTCCTATAATTAAACACAAGGGGGTGCGCAAATCAAGACGACATTTTACGTGTTTCGTAAACCACCAAAGAGTGAACTTTGTGCCAAATTTCAAGAAGATTGTCATAACAGAATTTGCGCTACAACTGCTAGCCTAAAAATGTATTTTCGTAAATATAAAGCGCAAACCTCTTCGTGGAGCTGCGATTTTCATGACTTAAGCTCAAGGCTACCCAGTTAGCACAACCTGAAAATCTTAGCCTCTTACTTGCAAATAATGATTTTTTGGAAATTTTTCAAATTTGAAATTTGAAATGATCATAAACCACACCCACTTTAATCAATCATTACCATATTGATTGTGTAGTCTTAAGACGCTATAATGATGACAACCACTAAGTTTCGTGCAGATCCATTTAGCCGGTTCAGCAGTATAATTTCTTCCTGTTATAGCGCCCCCCCTATTGTTGAATCAAGTTGAAAATCAAGACATACACTTGAATTGACCTTAGGTATGATGGTTATGAACAGCTGTGAAAAATGTCAAAATCTTTTGAAGTTATGCTAAAAAAACTTTTTCATTCCAAAAAAATATTTTTAAAAGTCATATTTCGAAAAATAAGCGAATTATCCAAAATCTGTTCACATCGTTTAGTCAGCCACTCCTCCTCTCTTGTCAGGCCAAGTTTTGATTTGATTGTGTTTGACGGCCGGGAGGAGTTGTTTGACTTACTATGCAAATTTCTACTAATTTGCATAAGTTTAAAACATTTTTTAAAATACTCATCTAAATTTTACTGACTCAATGAACATACAGGATGAGATCATTTGTTTTTGTTTTTTTTTACGAAAGAAATGGAGAGAAACATGCCATAAACATTTTTGGGGTACAACAGCGCCACCTATTGGACAAAATTCAAATTTTTTCTGTGATTGTAGATTTCATTATGACTGATATGAAATGTAACTTTCTGTATAGAATATGTATTTTTCATGAGTAAAAGGGCGAAAAATTGTAAACCCTATAAGCCACGCCCACTTTTTAATCATTTTCAAAATATAGCTTAAGGGTCCAATGATTAACATATCTGCCAAGTTCTGTGGTAATCCATTGAGCCGTTTTGCTGAAACAAACTTTTTGACTCTTTAGCCCCCCCTATTGGTGAATCAAAACAAAACTTGGTAGATAGGGCTTACCACTCATACTTTGTAAGGTTCTAGAGTCTCATCCTTTTATCTTGAAAAATGGTGGAGATATCATCAATTAGGACATGTGCTAGCTCGCGCACTGAATTTGACATGGTGTCATTAGCCCAAATTTCAATAATTCCACATTTTTCTTCATCACAACGACTTACTTAGTCCGTAGATGATATGTACAAAGTTTGAAGTTGATTCGACAAAAAATGACGGATTGGTGTTTAAAACTAAATTTTGTGTTTTTTGCGATCTAGCAAAAAATCTAGTTAGGCGGACATGGGCGTGACAATACAAAAACATGCAGAATCATCCAAGGATCATGTACATATAAAGTTTTTGACTGTAGGACCTACTGATTGGGAGAAGGTAGCTGAAACGTATTCACCTCCACAATAGCGCCACCTAGGTGACTCTGAGTCCAAATTTTCGAATCTGATAGCGGTCAGGATTTTCTATCAGACTGCCATGTCAGATTGTTCCTGGCACTTTCAGGCTCCTGCGCCCATACAGTATTAGCGGGGAACATTAATACTGAAAAATCCGTAGCAAACAATAGGGTTCCCTGCTCGTTGGGCTTGGAACCCTAATAAGAGGCACATTTTGATTCCTTCTTGTCTGACCAAACTATAAAGAGCAAATTTAGTTTTGAGATCAGATTCGTCCTCGGGACGCACTCGTGGATGACAGGGATAAATCAAAACAAGATGCTGTTATGCAACAGACCACACAAATGTCATGTAACCAGAACCAAGAACTGGGAGGACAAAAGGGAACATGTTCACCTCTCATCTGTCCGTGGTTCTGATGTGAGTCAACAGTTTTATTCTTTATGGTTTATGCGTGAGTGTGAAACAACTGCAGGATGCACCTGTTATGCCAAACATTCCTTATTTTTCATTATAAGGCCCCGCTCATTATAATTTATATTGCAGAATATTCTTGTTGTTTTAGGTGGTTTGTTGTAAACAGACTGAGGGAAAGTCATTCCTGTGCTTCCTAATTTTTATCCATGCATTAAGGGTTTTTAACCTAACCCATTTAAGAAGTAAGATTTGATGAGAGGAATTGTATTAAAACAATAATTAGTAGGTGGTGTTTTTTTTTTAAATGATTAATGTTTTTATCTGATTTAGCTCGGCCTGGTGTTCTCTCCGTTCCCACTAGAGGGCGCCCTAATCTCTAGCAGAGGGAAAGTGTGGCTCTGGTGATTCTGAAACAGAGCACCCTATTGTTTCAGCTGTAGGATGTGCTAATCAAACATAGCTGATTCTGTCACTGTTCAGCGATCTTTTCCTCGGAAGGGTTTCGTGTGATTTTTGTCTCCAGACTTATGTTCCGAAGTGAGAGCAGCAGGCTCACACCAGACTCAGGTAGGCCAGGGGAAGGTAGCAGATTTATGGAACGGCCGGCTCCTCGCCTCGCTCTGGTAGAACTATGTGCCACTACCCTCTTCTTTCGCTGGCTTCACTATCAGCCGCAAGCAATAAATCACGTCCAAATCCTGAATCCTGCTTTTATCTGCTGACATTCCTTCGGTGGTGTTGATGTTCAGGTGCACGGCGTGCGCCAAGGAATTCCCATTATGTGGCATCCACTCCTCTGAACACCACCAGAGGCTATTCTCTTCTCCAAGGTGCCCCTATTATTCAGGGAAGTGTCAGCGTCACTCACGTATGTGGAGGTGAAACGTTTTTCTTTGCTTGAATAAATAAACTCTGTCCACAGATTTGCTACCGTCAAATATGATCAGACACCTACAAACATCAAGAACACGTTCATGCATCTCACCAACTACAGTCTGAACAAGAAGAGCAGCGACTACGTCAGGTGAGCTGCATCAGTGACCCCCGCCCCTCTTTCCCCTGCTCTGATCTCTAAAGTGCATTTGTTCCTTCTCAGCTGCGATGACCCTGAAGTGGAGGATTATGGGAACAAATGGAGTATGAGTGCAGTGTTGAGGTATTTGAAGCAGGAGGGAAAGGACACCACATGTGAGTCAGACTTTTTTTTAATTTTTTAAGTTATTTTCTAATTTTCTCTCCAAGACTGCCTTTTGGGTTTCCTAATAATGCTTTCAGTGAGACATTATTTAGATCATTTCTTTCCATTTCTCCTGTTCCAGTGCTGATGAAACAAGTTGAGGACCTCGTCATCAAAGCTGTGCTCAGTGCTGAGCTACAGATCGCTGCTGCCTGCAAGATGTTTGTCCCGCATAAGACCAACTGCTTTGGTAATTTCAGCGTTCAGCTCCTCAGCTTCAGATGAATCCCAAACCAGTCTAAAGTGTTGGTCTGAGCTAGGATATAACCATCACCTCGCCCGCTCACATTTCCTTTTAGATTCATACTCCAGCAGTTCCATATAGTTGTACTCCAGTGAGCCGAGCCGAGCCGAGGTGGTAGTTAGTTCTCCGTGGATCCTTCCTGCCTGTTGTTGCCCAGCTTGTGGAGAGCCTGTTGACTGAAGCAGGAATTTGCTTCCTCTCTTCTGTTGCCATTCAAGCTTTGCCTGATTTAGGCTGACTATTTTCTTGGCTGGTCCCGCTCAGCAGCGGGCTCGTGTGAACTTCATTTTGGAGCCATTACCCGTGTTAGTGTTGGCACTAATTGTCTGCGCTCCCTCTCTGAGTCTGGCATTCATTCTGAGTTTTGGAGGCTTGAAAGCGAGTGTTTTGGCTGAGCTTCCCCTCAGAACCGCTGTCTCTCTCTCTCTTTTTTCTTTCTCTTTCTGCTTGTTTATAATTCTCTCTCTCCTGCTCACACTCGCATTCACCTCTCAGATGTCAGGAAAATAAAGGCTTCCCGAGACATAATAGCGCTCTGATTGGTGGTTGTTTGGGCTGTAGCAGCTCGGATTCACAGTCCCTAAACCCGCCTGCATAAAGATGCAATCTGCACCTTTAGGGATGAAAACCCCACATTAAATAGAGCTGTGAATGATGATCCTGCAGGTATTTACAGTAAAATGTAGCTTATCAAACGTGCTTGTCTTTCATTCACACCTGGAAAAACACGATTTTACCATCAGATGACTTGGATGTTTTCAAATAACCTTCAGGGATACACAATATTTCTGCAGAATTGTGTTTTGAAATTCAGCTTTTATGTGAACTTACAGGAGCTCAAAACATTTGAGATGATTTTCAAGCCGTAAAATTTTTTATTGGGGTTGCCAACTGAAAAAACAGCATCTGATGTAATAAAACGTCTATCGTTTTTTTTACTGATATTCGGTTAACCGATGTATCCTACCACTTAATATCTGATAAAAACTGATACCGTTAACCCCTTCACAAATAAAGACTAAACAGATCCTTTCCAATAATAAATGCCGATATTGGCAGATAATATCGGACATCCCAAGTAAAATATGTAGTTAAATCTTTAGTTTGTTCACCATCCTGTTTAAAGGGACATTATGGAAGTTTGACAGCCAAAACATGTATAGAAATAATAAATTTCTTCTTCATACATTCTCCTGCAATGCCCTGGTCCTGTAAAATGAGCCCTGGCATTTTTACTGTGATTGCCTGTTTTTCTGTAAAATCACAGAAAAAGAGAGCTGCTCGGGTCGAGCAGGCTGCTTCACGCGCGTTCACACGTATATATATGTCGCGCGTATATATGTCGATGGTTCACGCTCAGGCATAGCCCTCCAAACCGTTCTTTGAACGTTGTTTCAGCTGTCATCAAGGATATAAATGTTAGAGATACAGAAGACACCACTGGTGATTTAGCTCGCCTTGTAAGATTTTGGGCTTTCATGCAGAAGACCCGGGTTCAATTCTGGATGTGAACATGGTTGTTTTAGAGTTAATTTTTTACATTAATAATATATTTTTTTACACTAAGATGCCCAAATTTTTATTTGAGACTCGCCGAACGGCATTCAATTCACAGATAAAAAAGATGTGTGTTCAACTTTCATTTTGGAACAATTTTTCAAGCAAGGGATTGATCTGAGCATGCAGGAGGACTGACCCATCTTAAACCTTTGTCAGCTGTGCTGAAGAGAAAGGTACAGAATCAAATTATTTAATTAATTAGCTGCGCGTTCTCCTGTCCTCTGTCGTCCGGGCCACACACACACACAAGGGACTGTCTCAGCTGTTATTTTCGTTAAGGAGTGTGCACGTACAGCATGCGCGCCTCGTGCACGAGCCTACTATTGAAGCTGCGTTACGCTTTTGGCCTGAGGGGACAATCGCAAGCATAAAAACTGACAGCTCCGTAAAGTCCCTTTAAAGACCCAATGAGTTTCAGCGTTGGCAAGTGTAAACAATAACATTTTACTAAAACTATCATAATTTTACGATATAAATCTTCATTATGTAGTAAATCTGTGGTAAGTTAGGCTGCAGAGTTAAATAAACAGTTCTAATTTAATCACCTGGACCTGTTTTTCTATCTAATTCAGCCTAAAATGAAATCATTACTGACCAACAAAGCTGTCCCTTAGTTTCTAAGCTGTGTTCTAAATGAAGTTTGCATTTGCATGTATTTTACATTGAATGCAAATCCCGTTTCATGCACACATTTTCAGAACAAAAACAATTATTTTCTTTTGATTGCGATGCACAAGTGTTCTAATGTGACCAAGCCATTCATCTTACTTCAACGTTATCGGTTTACTGCTGAATAACGTGTAATTTTGTTGTCCTCAGATGCCCCAAAGCGAGTTAATTATGGCATTCTCACTGTTTCTACTGGATTAAGTTTCCAAAGACAGACACTGACAGTTTCAGAGGACCACCCTGGTCCTCTCTGCGTTGATACATCTCGCCACGTGTGGCTATATTGCATGCAAACGCTCTCTCTGAGTTGTATATGTGTGCAGCGTGAATCAGGGACATGCTGGAACCCGTGAGTTTCACAAACATGCACATCTCTGCTTCTGGCGGTCTAGGATCACATGTACTGTAGAACAACCTGTAAGTTCCTTTTCTGAGTGTTTTCTCCCGTATTGTTCAGCTTTCATTTCCATTCTGTGTACAGTCTAAAATCCCTCATCTCTGCTCCTGAGCTGCAGCAGCTGCCTGTAATAGTAAACAGGTTTGGCGTCAGAGTGCATGACAGCTAATCAGAAGTGTGTTAGCTCAGCCCTAACCCTAACAACTATTGTTTAGAGGTTTTACACAATCCCCAACTTGTCTGGAAGGGAGCCATACAGGACCATTAATTATAATCTTAATTTACTGCAAATTGTTTCCTGCCATTTGAACGTCTATAAGTGGCTTTAATACAACAGGATTTCTGCCTTTTACCCGAGTTGCACGGTGTATCTGAATGGGCGGTCCATAAAAGAAATCTTTTTATAGCTTCATAATGTCTAATGTGGGAAGAAATAAAAGCAGAGTTTTCTTTTTTTGTTCCTGTTTTACATTGTAAGAAGTGTGTGTGTGTTTCTGTGGGGAGAAAATGCCACCCATGCAGCTCCTCGCCGCTGCCGTGTGATTAATGGACAGACTTTTTTGCTGAGAGATGCTGATTATGAGATGTTTTGACTGAGATCTGATTAGCCAAGCCAAAGGCCTATTTTCTTACACACCAAACATTCCACTTACTGCTCCTATGTTCCACTGAGCGTCCCTCATTAAGTGCTGAGTGTGGTTGGATCTCCTGTCTGCGAACTGCTCTCGACGCTTCACATTTGTCAGAAACTCCCACACTTCTCTGAACTTTGTGTTCCTATGACGAGTCTTCTTTTTTAAAAACAAGGAGTGATTAACGACTCATCACACTAAAACCCTAGAATCCTAACTGGAAGTTCGTTTGTTGCCCTCTGACTGGTTTTACAACTGTGGCTTCTCCGCTGTGCCTCTTACAACAGCAGTGAAACAGTTTAGCAGTCGTGGTTAATCTCAGAATGACGTGAAAGTAATTCGATTGTCCAAGCCCTTGAAGAAAACACACTTAAAGATGCTGCTGTTATTGTGAGCCACCAGGCTACGTGGCCAGGGCGGGGAGATCATTGTTTTTGGGCGTTTGTCTCTTGTGGTAAATTTTCCAGCAGCGCCCCTCCTTTAATAAAGAAAGAAAATCCTCTTCATCATCCCCCTTTTTCTCTGTCACAGTTTTTCTCCCCCTCCATCCCTATTTAATGGTTCTTATGTAGGATGTTAAGCTGCTCATGTCGCCTCGTCTGTGATGCTTGTTGTGGGCTGTCTGGGGGCGCGTTTAAAACTGCTCCCCTCTGCAGCGGTCGAGCCACAGAACAAACGTGTCTGACATTTAGCGACTCGCGGGGCATCAGCGGCGTCTGTTTCTAATTGGGGGAAAATTTGTGGCACATGGAGTCTGCTTGTCGGAGGCTGGTGAGGTGATGTTGTTGTGGTGCCTCTGATGAGGCAAAACAGGCTCAAACTCTATTATCCCAGCACTCAGTTCTCCAAGACTAATAGATAAATGTTTTATAATACACACACACTCACCCTATCTTTTTATGTGTGTGCATGTTTGGAAAAGTGGATAGAAACGAGCGAGCAAGAGGAAAATAAAACCCTAGAGCTCTGCTGAGGCGAGCACAGCGGGGGTCCGGCCCATCTGTGGAGTTAAAGATGGCGGTTAAAGCTTATGCTGCAGCTCATGAGTTGAATCATGCGCTAACACACATCTGACATTAAATACCTGTTTTTCCACTGACATACAGACATTTCCATGTCATCCTTTAGGAAAGTATAAATGTTTGGTGTTTAAAAATAACAGATTAAATCATTCCTTCTGCTCCTGTGGAACAATATGCCGGTAGTGGAATGATCCAAGAACTTGTGTTTGGCACTTTTACTGAATTTACACTAAACCAATTTTCTGGAGAGAAAAAAGTAGACATACCTTTATACTCTCAGGCTCTGGTTGATTGAGTAACAAGTGAAGGAAGCCAAGTCGAACTATTAACCAAACGGTTTGTGCACAAATGAGTTTTGATTCAATATTTTTCCATATTTGTTTAATCGCAGTTTTATGTGTCCCATAAATCAGTGTTTTATCCCCTCTGAGTCTTGAAATGATCTCCAGAAATTAAGTTTGAGTTAAAAACCAAACGCTAAAACAATTTTATGTTATTATTTCTTCACGAGTAAAACAGCAGTAATAAAAGGACAAAAATCAGATCTGTGTACCCATGAGTGTAAGTTGTTTTCTTTTTTGGCCAGGGGGCACAACAAGCTTTAAAAATGGGAAGAACTCATATAAATTGCATGAAATACAGAAAACTAATTTCTGATGAGTCATT